TCATCAGCATCATCACCATCATCGTCTTCATCATCAGCATCATCATCATCATAATCAGCATCGTCAACATCATCAGCATCATCATCAGAATCCTCAACATTAGAACCATCATCAACAAACACCTACCATCACCATCATCATAATCACCACAATCACCACCATCGTCGTCATTGTCATCATCATGGTCACCACCACCATCACCACCGTCATCACCATCATCATCATCATCATAATCGTCGTCGGCATCATCATCATCATCAACATCAGCAGCAGCAGCGACATAATCATCATCGCCATCATCGTCGTCGTCATAATCGTCATCGTCATCATTATCATCATCATCATCGTAAGCATCCTCGTCATCATCACCATCATCATCATTAGCATCATCAACATCCTCGTCGTCATCAGCATCAGCAGCAGCACCGTCATCGTCATCATGATCGACATAAGCATAAGCATCACAAAGATAAGCCGCAGCAGCAGCAGATCATCATCTTAGGCATCATCACCACCACCCTCAGCATCGACAGCAACAGCACCAGCGTCATCACCACTATCTCCAGTATCGTCATCGTCATCGCCATCGTCATCATCAGCAGCAACATCGTCATAATCATCATCAACATCAATAACAGCACAAACAAGAGCAGCAGCCGCAAACGCAGCAACATGCAGAACAACAAAGACGACGACGACGACGACGGCGACGGCAACAACAACGATCATGGTAAGACTGTTCGCTCTTATCTGCTCGCGTGCCACTCGGCAGGTATACCTCGAATTCCCGAACCCTAGATACCCTCTTCGTTTTCGACCGCCCCCCTCTTCGGAGTAGATATGTCTTACCTGCAACGTGTATTTCGCGCAGCTCCTGAAGCAGGGGAAGAGAGGACGGATGGAAGGAAGGGACAAGGGGGAGGGAGGAGGATGGAGCACGAGAGAGACTAGGAACAGAAGGGCCAGGAGCAGAAAACACGTGGGAGAACCAGACGGGCAGATCGGGCGGGCAGACCCTACCAGGCGGGTCGGGAAGGAGGGCCCAGGCGACCAGGTCTAGCAGGCGGGTTGCTGAAGCGTGCGTCCTGCATAAATCGCGAGGAAGTCTCGAGCGACAGCTTGACTCCCAAATCAATCGTGATGAAATCCACGGCGAGAGCCTGGTTCCTGAATGTCGAGGGCGCGGCGTCTGAATAAATTGCGAAGAAGTCCCACGCGAGAGGGCGATTCCTGAATAGATTGTGAAGATGCCCCGCGCGAGAACGCGATGTGGGAACGAATTGTGAAGAAAGATCAGGCGGGAACCGTTGTTGTTGTAGTAGTTCGGGGGCCAGGGGCGGAGTTGTTTTGTTCTCCCTCTCACGTCCCCGTGTTCGAGTTGCGAAATGTTCACAAATCAAAGTTGGTACATCATCATGGTCCGCTCACGCGCATCCGTTCGCAGCTGGGGCTGGTGATTTGCTTGCCCAAATCGATGGCCGCTTGCACTGCTCCGTCGGCAGCAATCACTTCCATTGCAAAGGGGCTATCCAGCTGCTCCAGATATATAGCGTCAATTCGTGGAAAAAGTATGTCGTGGTCTTGCTGCACGCCCACAAGGAAGATTGCATTGGCTGCCGCCCCACAAGTGCCGCGAAGCCCCCCGTCCGAATATATCTGCATAGATGCGCCGTGGTCGAATAAATCAGGCGCTGAAAGCAGGAAAGCATGATGAATATTGCGTTTAAGATCAAGGGCAATGTTACACAGCTGGTCTGCCGTTTGAGTGTACTCTCGCGGCAGCCAGTCGCGAGTAGCCAATACCCTCCCTTATGCGCGTAAACATATCCAGAAACCTTTGCCAAATTGGTGAGCGTTTGGCCGAAAATCGGCTCGTAAAGTGGATCTGTACAGCTCTCTTCCAGGTTCGCCACCCCAACTACTGTCGACGAGTCCACCACAAACTCGAGCTGCGGCCGTCCACAATCCAGCATCCAGAGCGCATCCCGGCCTAGCAGGGCCGGTAAAGACCACGAATCCAAGTCTGAGTCATGCTGCTTGCTGTCGGATACAGGCAGCGCGCGTGCGAGCGATGCGCCCTTTGTCCCGCATGGCAACTTCCAAGCTTCGCAAACTTGACGTACAAAATCTTGCCGCTCTGATCGCCCTGTTTGGAATCCGTGCAGCGCGCCAGTCGCGCTCTCAACCCATCCCCCCAGGCTGCACGGTAGACTGCGTCATGCGACGCTGTTGGCCCAGGCCTCGAATGAACGAATCCGCCGTCCCTCCACCGCTTCCCAAATCCAACATCTTTCACTAAACCCCAAACAACGTCTCCCCGATCTGCCCGGATGGCCGCGGCAAGAGAAGCTGTTGTTCTCTCCCTCCACAGCGCACTGTGCAGACGCTCACGCAGTATATGATGCATGGGCTTGTGTCCGGGATGTTGCATCCACGTGTCTAGCTTCCTCGCAGTGCTCGTCATGAGCTGCATCCTATTGTGGTCCAGTTTCCGTTGTAATCGGAATGCGATACGTAACATGTTGCGTTCCTAGCGCAATGCTTGTAGCAGCAGCGACGCAGTCCAGCAGGCCACTGGCGGCTGAAATACAGCCACCGCTCGCGGATTGGTGGAAAACGCTTCCAATTCGAGCGAAACAGGCGCCTTGCCCCAGAAGAGGCGCCATTTAGCATAGAATGACTGTTCCCCTTGCTTGAATCGATGCTCCAAGAATGCCGCGTTCGACCTGTCAGAAACCAAAACACCCCCCAACACGTCAAT